TCTTGCACCACCTTTTGCCTCTCTCAATTCGTCCATCTTCGCAACTCTCTTCTTGAATTCCTCGTATTGGCATTTTTCGTAGGAATGTCTTTCTTGCTGTTTGCAAAATCCCGAACGTCAGCCTTGTTCCCGATGGCTCAGTACTTTCAATTTGTCTCGCAAACGCACCTCACACTTCCATGGAAGATAATACTCCTCCTGCCGACAACGATTGAGCGGAATCAATAGACCAGCACATCCATCACGATATGCAATAGGTAATCGGGCTTCGCTCATTTGTTCTCGAGTTGCGGCTAAACCTAGTATTAGCTTCGTACCCAGGGTCTCTAGTTTTGAAAGGAGGAGAGCATACTGGTAGATGGAGCACCAGAAAGTCCAATTGCTGACTTTACAGCTTCGACTACAGTCATGATTGCGTATGTGATATGTGGTGAGGGGAGATCTAAATGTCCGGGTATTGAGGGGGTTTGAGGTGAGGTAAGGTCAACAGAACTGGCACTAATTATTTTTGCTTAGTAAGCCAGCATTTCCACACATCATCTTTCATCCCGTTCCAAGGGTGTAATGGGTCGAAGTACCGCATATCTATATCTTCTCAGGCACATATTCATAACCCTAAATTGCTTGACCAAGTTAGCCACCCGCTTCCATGCGTCCTGGGAGGCTACATATTAACATTTCAGCAACTACACATCCGAAGCCTATAGTTAACTAGAGCACTTCCACATGATCTAGACGGCAAACCTCGTAACATTTTGATATTTCTCAATTTTCATTTGTAATGAATTTTGAAAACTAAAAAAAGGAAGAATATATTAAACATCAATTCTTTAATCCCGGTTTCCCATAAAAATTAATGATCAATGAAGATAGACCTCATTATCTGAAGGCGAGAAGATGTCCCTGATCATGTGACTTTAAGCTTACCTACCCAGGTACGGAATAGTCACTGTCGTATAATTTCCTCTTGCGACGGGCTCGGCACGTCTGGTAAAGGCCTACCTAGTAGCGTTTGGGACATTCAGGTCGCAAATTGGAAGCGATGATAAAATTCGCCATTCACACCCCCAGAAGTCAGACTTGAGTCAGGTACATACCGACGCAGAAGACAACTCACGGCATACCCCTTTCTCTACCATACCGCCAAAGGAAGAAAGAATATCTCGAACACTCCAACCCTCACGGAATGTTTTATGAAAGAAAGGGCGATCTACCGTACATATAAAAGATATCAGACAGGTTTGCTTCCTGATCATAGCGTCATGGCTGCGGAAACCCGAGTATACAAAGGTAATCTTAAATCAAAGTGTATGGTGACGATGATAATAGGGTGAGATTTTAAGAAAATGTCGAGATAAAATTACTTTCAAGGACTTTATTCTCCACTTTCATCTAGACACCTGAATAAGTATCCATGCGGAAGTTGATAATATAGGCATGGCTTGTGTAAAGAGTATAATAAGTATATATATTCATGTATATAAACATAGGCATAAATATAAATATAAATATAAATATCAATATCAATATCAATATCAATATCAATATGCGTGAGAATGTCATGTTTACGTTCCATTCTGCCGACTCCGCCTTCCCGTGCCTTGCTTATGTAGAATATCATTACTGTACGGTTGGGTATAACCGTATAAGCAAGGTACAAGGCGATGGGTCTGTTCTGATCCAAACCAAAACACCGAAAAAGCTCAGACCGGCGAACAAAACCTCAAGAACCGATCTCCACCTTCCACTTTCCATTCAACTACCACACGCGCTGAGATAATTCTTCACCATACTTCCACTACTCACCGCAGAAAAAAAAAAAGGATAATTATTCCTCTCTCTTGTACATTCTCTTCCTTTCCCTTATCTGCAGTAGTATAATTGTCTCCACTCATCAGCTCCATATTGTCTCATCACAGTTTTTCTTACACGTTGCCTCCGGATTCACATCTGCAGGTTGTCTGTCATCCGTGTTCGATTCCAAACCCAAAAATACCCCCACCACCACCACCACGATAGCCTTCTCAAACGTCAAGGGATCTGGCTATGTTATCGTCGGCATCATAGGATAATAGGGGTTCTTTTAAGGTTGCGAACTACTCGCGCGTGGGCAACCTCGTGGCAGGAACGCGTACGGTACGGCTCCAGAGAGAGGGGCAGGCTAAACTCTTTCTCAAAAGTCTCGAAATTACCTACCCACAGCTACGAGTCGAACACATAGTCAACCTCTATTGAAATGGATTCTCCTCATAGACCTCAGAGTAAACATCGAAATACTTCCCAAACTGCTCAAATGTCCGGACCTCAAAAATTTACATCAGAAGCTTCCCCGAGTCCCTTCATTTCGAATTCGAAGCTGGTGAAGCATAGTGTTGAGACTCGACACCCAAGTCAGACGGTTTCTTTAGGATGGGAAGATGGAGACGAAGGTGGACATACATCGAGGTTACAAGTGGAGTTGGAAGATGTTATAGAAACGAAAATTGTTACTACCACCACTACGACTAAACGATCTTATCCTTCATTACTCTTTCAAAATCCCAGATCAGTTGATAGCCTAGATGCAAAGGAATATCCCTTGGCATTTAAGCCTACTCCTCCCGAACTTACCAAGTTTTCATATGAACTTGACGGACAACAAATGGAGTATGAGGAAAATGATTTACAAAATGTCATGCACGAGGTTCGGATATTTCATTTCTCGCACATTTCCTTCGGTTTGTGGTACTAATCATGAAATTTCTCTAGAATTCACAAACGCAGCCTCTCCGTAACTTTCATCGACGTCGTCAATCGAGTGAGAATCGTGGGCAGTTCAGAGATGGGTTGGACAGAACAGATCGAATTGTCAAATCCGATGCAGAAACTAGCAATTTGAGAAAATCTTTGAAATCGAAAGGAATATCAGATTATTTACCTGCCAGTATTGGTTCAAGGTCCAGCACCTCGCAGGAACAAGAAGTTTTCAAGAATGAAGCCAGAGATGCTGGTTCGACTGCCCACAATGAAACTCGACGCCGGAACCTTGGTCTCGGTATGCACCTACCCGATCTGCTAGCTACACCCGATATGTCAGAAGTAGATTTATCCTCGAGAGACGTCGCTCCAACACTGCCTCCTCGATTTCAAACCAGTGTGTACACCCCTCAGTCCGGTTTAAGTCAAAACGACTCATTCGACAGCCTGGAAAGTCAAGAAATCGCAAATGACGAAACATTCAATGGAGCGGTTGCTACGCCTCCAATTGCAGAATCCGACCTGGAGGAGTCTAGTCTTGGTATAAATTTCGCACAAGGACAGCGTCCGCATTTGAATACTGCAGCTGCTCAGAACGCAAGCCTCCCTAGCCCTGGCCTTTCGCCCGCTGCTACTTCCCCATCATTCGACAATGATGATAATGGTGATAGTCAGGAGATGTTAGACGAGTACGCTCTTCAGGTATCCGAGACAAATACAGCTCGAGATCGACGCATCACATCTACAGGATTACACTCGCAAATTTCAACCGTTATGGAGATTGGCTCTATGCTGGATACTTTCGATGCTATGCCAAGTGAATTGAAGACTCTTATGATGTATCAGCTTAGTCGAAGGTGCTCGAAGAAGACTCTTCGGGCTGTTGCGGGTTTTGTCAATCCTGCTTTGATGTGTGATTTCCTCGATGAGCTTCCCACAGAACTAAGCCTACATATTCTAAGTTATCTGGACCACAAAGACCTTTGCCGAGCGGCTCAAGTTTCGAAACGTTGGAGAAATGTCATAGACTCGAATGAGACAGGATGGAAAGAACTCTTTGATCGTGATGGTTTTGTGCTCCAACCCGAAGAACTCGAGCGAGCAATACGTCAAGGATGGGCATGGCAAGATCCTTACGGGCCAGATGGTTATGAAAAGGATTTGAGCATTAAAGACCAATCAATCAATGGAGAAGTCTGTACACCTAGTAGTGGTAGCAAGGTTGATGCAACTAGGAGATCTCGAGCTACCACTAAAAGAAAGAGGACCGCTGGGAATTTAGGATCGGAACGCGCAAAGAGAAGAGCAATAAGTAACGACGTTTCAACCAAAAAATTAGATGAAGTATCCAAATACCACAAATCTGAAGGCCCATTAAGCGCTGCTTGTGCTGCTGCTTTAGCGGTACCAAATCCTGAATTGGGTCTTCCAGGATTACGGAAACTTCATCTCTTCAAATCTTTGTATCGTCGTCACTATTTTCTTCGTCATAGTTGGACGAACCGTGCCGTTGAACCTCATCATATGGCATTCAAAGCTCATCCGTCACATGTAATTACATGTCTTCAATTTGATGATGAAAAGATTTTGACAGGTAGTGATGATACATGTATTCATGTCTACGATACGAAAACTGGAGCTCTACGAAAAAAGCTTGAGGGACATGATGGAGGTGTTTGGGCTTTACAATATGAAGGAAATGTTCTTGTTTCTGGATCCACTGACCGTTCAGTACGGGTATGGGATATTGAAAAAGGTCTTTGCACTCAAGTTTTTCATGGTCACACATCAACTGTACGATGTTTACAAATTCTTATGCCATCAGAAGCTGGCAAGACAGCAACTGGTCAACCTATCATGATACCTGAGCAACCCCTTATTATTACCGGTTCTCGTGACTCTCAACTACGCGTATGGAAGCTACCAGCCCAAGGAGATAAGCGATATATCCAAACAGGACCACCAACTAATGATGCTGACTGCCCTTACTTTGTTCGAGTATTAGCTGGACATACTCATTCTGTTCGTGCTATCGCTGCACATCAAGATACTTTAGTAAGTGGTAGTTACGACTGTACCGTGAGAGTATGGAAGATCTCGACAGGTGAAGTCTTACATCGTCTACAAGGACATACCGCAAAGGTATATAGCGTTGTTTTGGATCATAACCGTAACAGATGTATCAGTGGTTCCATGGATACATATGTTAAGGTTTGGTCACTTGAGACTGGGTCTTGTTTATTCACACTTGAAGGTCATACATCACTTGTTGGTCTTTTAGACTTACGTGATGAACGTCTTGTTTCAGCAGCAGCAGATTCAACATTACGAATTTGGGATCCAGAAAGTGGTGTGTGCAAAAGTACATTGAGTGCACATACAGGTGCCATTACTTGTTTTCAACATGATGGACAAAAAGTTATCTCTGGATCAGATCGTACTTTGAAGATGTGGGATGTTAAAACTGGTGAATGCATCAAGGACCTTTTGGGTGATTTAAGTGGTGTTTGGCAAGTCAAATTTGATGAACGAAGATGTGTTGCAGCTGTTCAACGTGATAATTTCACATTTGTCGAGGTTAGTCATAACGTTTGCATATTGAAATCTTTTTTTCTAATAATTACTTTAGGTTCTTGATTTCGGTGCATCTAGAGATGGTGTTCCAAAATCCGAACGTGGTCATCGTATTTTATTACCAAGTATAGACGAAACGGAAAGAATCGTTGAAGTTGATGAAAATGCAAATGCATAAACGAATGTATGAAACTTTTTAAACGTCTAATGAAAATTAACTCCCGAGAATGTATGAAATAGAATTAGTCTTTTTTTTCATCAAATTCAAGACTCATCGGGAAATGGCTATGGCTATGGCTATGGGAATGGGAAAGGGCATGGGGTATACCCTATTTATTCGGCTATCTATCATCTTTGCTTGCTTGGTATTTTTCTTACAGTATATGTATGTCTTTGAGGATGTTCAAATCCTTCATTCGACTAATTTATGGGGCGTTTTTTTGAAGGAAGAAGAGATGAGATAATGGGAGTTTTTAATTTGCTTTAATTACCCGTTTTTTATTTTTTATTTTTAAAATGCATAGCATAGAATAGCATAGCGTAGCGAGGAATTTCTTGTTTCTCTGTTCATTATTGGGGATGGGGATGGGAGTTAAACTTGAATTTTTTTTTTTTCAAATAGGATTTTCTTGCTTTTTTGATGTGTTGTTGAATTGAAATAGAATTGAATTGAATTGAGGATTTGATCTTGATATACCTACTCGATGTGCTCCTTCCCATTTGCAATATTGATGCTTGCAAAATAAAGAATAATTATATTATTTTATAACGTGGTTTATCAGGACCCTGTACATATCAGGACCCTGTACACTTTTACCTCAATTGCCCACATTCCATTGAAATAAAATTACAACAATACTATAAATTAGAATTAAATTATATACAATTCAAAGATCAACTAATGCTGGATCTAATTGACAAATTCGTACATTATGTAAAGCACTACTACATTTGCTATATCGTCGTATAGTAGCTTGTCTCCTTGCTAAAGAATTACCATTTGTAAATTCATCACATTGTATCTGATCTTCTATATTCTCTTGTTCTAATATATTATACCCATCTTTTACTGAAAATACTCCTCCTTTTCATATTAAAGCTTTTCTAACTCTTTGATATTTACTAAATACTTCATTTACTTTACAAAGATTATGAATCTCAACAACTAAAAGTGTATTCATATAAGTTAAAAGCTTTATACCTTTAGCTAAAACTGTAATTGTTTTAAATATTAGAGTAGATAAACTTCCTTGATGTTGAACAATATGATTTTTTATTAAAGTGGATTGAGAAAGAGCTTCAATTGGATTATAAGATGTTTGAGATTGTTATATATCAGGATCAACTGATATTGATCTATTTGATAAAGTTCTTATTCGAATATCTAGTTTTGAAAGTACAATTTCCGGATTAAATGGGATTAGCCCAGCTCCGCGGAACCCAGCTTTACCATTTGATATAGATATTGCTTCGATATATGCAGCTTTGAAGGTTTGAAAGAACTTGGTTTTGGTAATATAAGTGATATACGCCTTGATAAAGTTCTCGATTTGTCGACTATATAAATACTTTAAAGGATCAAAACAATCGATATCGAGTGATTAAGTTAAATACAAAGAATGAAATAGTAAATTAAGTAATATAATATTGTGTTCCTTACAGTATTCCTGAAATGCTAGCGATTTATGATTTTCATACCTATTAAGCATTAGTATTCGATATCTATCCACTTTCCTACTTTCAATATATTTGTTGAAGTGCTTAATTCATTCAAGATTTATCTTATTATCTGTCTATCTATTGATGGTAGGTTTAATAAGCCAATTGTATAGTAAATCATCTTCGGTATACCAATTTGAAAGATGGTATTCGCCTTTTACTATCAAAAACAAAGGTATATTGTAACCTTCTCTATCAATACAAATAATCGCTATAGCTCATTCTCGATTGCCTGATTGTATAGCTTTGCTTTTTCCATATCGATCAACTTTAGTAACTATTATATATAATAATATTTGTCCTATCATAAAGCCTATCTCATCAAAGTTGTAGAAATTGCAATCCAGAATACTATATTTGGCCTGTATATTCGATATCAATCAAAACCATCTTTCAATAAACTCTGAATCTTCGCAAAGAGCTTTTTGAAAATCATAAACACAATTAAAATACATCTTTAATTCTGTATATCGTTTTATAAAACGATAAGCCCAAAGCTTTCTAACCTTCTTCATACCCTACATTTTGAGTATATAATTCGCTATATCTTCTATATTATTTATTCGAGGATTAAACCCTCTTTCATCCATATCCAATATATATTGAAGAAGCGATTTCTCCTCCAATTCTATTATTTTATGATTTGTTGATCGACGTTCAGTAAAAGACAGAATTCTATTCATTCTAGAAGTAAGGGTAGTATAAGGTATATTATAGAGTTTTGCAGCTTTCCGAATACTCAAATTTTGAGATATACGAATAGCCTCAATAGCTAAATTGATTCGAGCTTCTTTTGAAGTAGTTTGCATAATTAAATATTGATAAATCGCGTGTTGAAGTTGAAAGGTGATAATTGAGGTAAAAGTGTACAGGGTCCTGATATGTACAGGGTCCTGATAAACCACGTTATGTGTTTTGTGTTTTGTGTTTTGTTGGTTATGGTTGCGGTGTGGGGTAGGGCGTATGGAATGGTATGGTTGTTACGATAGTAACAACTGACTAATTAGGAGAACTTGGGCCTTGTGCAAAAGCGATCAGATTTCATCGAATTAATATGTGATCTGGGCCACCTTAAGATCGTATGTGCACGCACTGTCAGAAAGCACGTGACTTGGAGCCTTTGGAGCTTAGGATCCAAAAGGATCCAAGGGAGCATGAATATCTATATAACCAAGATGGATTCCCTTTGTATAGAGCTTCGTGCTCAAGATCAATCATTTAGTATACTCTACTATTAGTTACGAATTGCATTATTGTCATTACTTTAAGTCCCTGCTTGACGCTTAGTTATAAACCACCTCGAGAGCCTAGAGCACTTCCACGTGATCTAGACGGCAAACCTCGTAACATTGAGATACGTGCGTCCCGATAGCATGCTGTGAGGGGAAAATGAAGGAAAGAACTGATTAAATTATATTGTAATGTATCACTTATGGAGAAAATGCATTTCACAATGGGTTTGGAATGGAAGCAATATATGTTCAAAAGTGTATATGTAAAAGGTTGATTGTTGTGGAAAGAAAGCAACGAAAGTCTCTCTTTTATGTCTAACTAGGTACTAGAGGTTATATGATTAACTAGCTGGGAAGCCTCTATGTATATGGCCTACAATTCCAACTATCTCACCATATCATCTAATCAAAGAGTGTAGAAACTCTGGAAGAAGGTCGATGTGAAAACAAGACTAAGTGAAGGTCTTTAACTTTTCAGGAGTATTGAATGGGAGAGGATGGTATTAAGATCCTTCAAAGAAAATCAATGGATTGTGCAAGTGCTAGAATAAGAAAGAAATCACAAAGAATCTGTGAAAATGAGAAAGTCTACTCTAGAATGAACACTGCAAAACTCAAGAAAGATGGTAAATGGATGGAGAATCGATCGCCTGATTTACCGTAAACTAAACACCATGGTTATTAGTATGGGATTCGAGGCATTCAGGGCAATACTCAACCCACCTGGTGTCTGCTCCATTCCATCTAGGGACTGTCCATGCGTTCAAGCAAGTTGGGCAGGCATCAGCAAGTAATTGAGAAAAGATCCGCCCGCAGGCGCAACATCTGAGATGTTCGTACCAGCAGAGGACACAGTTGACTGCCGGTAGTTGGTCCGACATTTTTGGTTGTGTGATGGTTTGAGTCTGTTGGAAGGTTTGAATATTCTGAAGATGTTTAGATGATGGATGATGAGAATATATTTTAAATATAAAGTGCAACTTGAATATAAATATATCTCCAAGGGATATTGTTTGATAATTGTTTCTGTATTATTTTTATTGTATGAATAATACTTATTGTGATGCTTAATCAATTTGTCATTGTTCAAGAACTGTTTAAAGATCAATATTTTGATATTCAATATAGTTTAAAGTTTAAACTTATATTTAGTTATTGCTTATGAAATTCTGCGATCGATTGATTAAATATAATTCTTCAATTTGTCGTTTGTAGACTATACAGAAATAATCTGTAACTCCTCAAGAGATGAATGGTAGGAATCTCCGTATATGAGACAAATATTCAATTGAAAAATGATTCGGAAGAGATACATGACCAAGTAGGAACATAGAGTTATTGATGAGTCTTCAATTTACATGGTGAGAGTTTGGAAGATTCTATAGAACGTCATCCATTAGACTGGGGAAATCTACGGGATCTTTCTTCTATTAAGAGATTGTCAACCAATCCTAAGGTGTCTAGGAAGGTAGGTAGATAGGTATCTCCTCAGTATCTACCTACTAGGTATTATCCGCTTTCTATAGAAGGTATGTTTGATCACGTGTTCTGGAAGTGAGGTGAGGATGAAGAGAGAGAGGCAATGTCGTGTCCTCACGCTTCTCCATGTACCTTCCTATATCTGCCTACGTAGGTACCCATTCCCAACCCTCATTTCCTTAGTCAGTCTCTTAGCCTCTCTGAACCCACAAACCCTCACTTTCAATTAATTAACTCAACCTTCATCTTCCTCTCAGTCTTCATCTTCACCCTCGTCATCTCATCCTCATCCTTATTTCCATTGAAACTTCAATCTAAACGTCATCTCAATTCATATAGTTCTTCTTCTCATATTCTCTTTCCAATATAAAGATCAGTCTATACTTATTCATTCTTCAATATTCACCATTCCATATCCATTTTCTTGATTTGTGTGTCCCTGTTTTACTGGGAGGACTTTCCAGATCAAAGTCTTCATTGACAGTTGAGATTTGACTGACCAGAAGTTGAATGATACTTCAGACTTCTCTTTGCATCCCACTCCCACTCCCTTGATTATTACTTCTGAGTTCAATCTGTCTCTATGCTTCATCATGCCACCAAAACTACTTAAACGTCCTGTTTCTGCTAAACAACAGACAAAGCTACAGCCAAAGACAAAACAGAAGGGAAAGGGTAAGGTCCAGACTGTTGTGGAGGCCCCTAAGACAGCACAAGATCTTGTACTCAACCAAAAACAAAGTCTCGAGTTGGTTAAGATTGGTGTCAATGCTGCTGTATGTACTATAGAACCCTTTACCTTTGATTTTTACTAATAAACATATCTCAGATCAGCCATTTTGTCTTTTATCGAGAGTTCTTTCCAAACAATTGCTACGACACCCGGATTTACAATGCATCTGACGCTAATCCTACATATGAAAAGTTTATGAGCGGCACAAACATTCCCAAGAACCTCAACTTAATGGAAGCTGGCGATGAAATCCTTTCTTTCAACACCATTGTGCGAGGATCGGGAAACCAGGGTGCCGAAAAACTACTTGATTGGCTTGTATTTCACCATGTTCGAATCCATGATTGGACAATGTGACTGATTGATACTTAGGAATTCGGGGTTGGTAATGCTGTGGATGATAAATGTCTCGCAAAACTCCAGCTTTCCGTTTATCGTGAAGAAGTTGTCCTAGAACAGCTTGTCGAGGCTTTCACTATCAACTTCACCTACAAAGATATTGGAAACGACACTCATGTCCAAATTTCCGCTTCAACGTCGAGCGAGAGTGGAAAGATCATCAACCTCGGAAAAGCACAACAGGGTCTAAGGGAGCTGATTAAACAAGTTATGAATTGTTCTCGAGATATTAAAGGCAAATCATGTAAGTTTACAGCCATCAATCAATTAATTTTTCATATCCGTTAAAAGGAAATGTAGCTGGACGTAAAGTGAGTATGCAACTGCTATACAATGACAACCCACGTCCCAAGAACGAGTACCGTGGATTTCGTGCTGCATCATCATCACAGATTCTCCCTGATAACTGTGGGGTTTTGATGGCCAAAATGAACAATGGTCTTAACGGGTATAAAACTACAGTTCCAGCAAAATGAAGGCAGGTACTAACTTGTTTAGACTCGAGGTCGCATACTACAATGCTCCAACGATCGATAGTCATCTAAAAGGAAAAGCTTCCCGTAGAGGCAAAGAGACTTCCGGCCGAGATCGTTTCGCCATGACTAGAAGCCCCAAACCTACAACACCAGAAGCAATCATTGATGATAGTCGGTCTTCCTCGAGACACACTCAATTCCCACAGAGTCATGGTACACAGGAGAGCACTGTGAGGTGGATCAACCAGATTGTAAGTGATCAATCAACAAACACAATGGTTCAGCTAGTTTGTATTTGCTGACATGGCCAAAATGGAAGGGACACACCAGAGGATCCGATGACATGGATACACAACTGCTTTCGAATCACGCAAGCCAGTCAACCACCTTTGGAAAGCATACAACGCTTCCTGAGCCAAAAGAACTTGATTATATGGACATTGAGGAAGAATCAGAAGAAGGAGAAGCGGTGCGCTGTGAGTGTACCAACTATGATGACCGTGAAAATTTGGTATGTCATTCTCTCTATTCGTTCGCATATCCTAAGAAGTACAAAGATACAGTGTGAAAAATGTAGAAATTTCTGTCACAGCCAGTGCTACGGTTACAACAAGGAAAGTGTCGGTGCAAACTTCGAATGTTATGAATGTCTCTTGGCAGAATCGGAGCAAGGTATTCTTTTTGAGAAAATGTATCCTCTTTGCACTCGCAGACGCATGGTTTATTACCTCAAAAATAACGGCTTCAATGATATGGAAGGTCTTTGCCAGTACATGAGTAAGGATACTCCAGCAAATGTCCGTACAGCATTAACCATCGTTCTAGATTTGACCTACAAGGAGACACAGGCTTTGGTAGAGGCTTTGAAAACAGAAGGAATCATCAAGAGATGTACCGGGTATTCCAAGGAGCCATTCCAATTTTCCAATCTTAAGAGACTTCTGGGTGAATTGTTTGATCCATCAAAGCATATCTCTCATACCAAGCTTGTGAGTACTTCATTAAGCTCCTCTGGGCTCTTGGGCAATTGATGGAAAGTTCTGACCCATCATAGTTTGTATCAGCAGCAGCATCGAAAGTCAACTTACCCCAAAAATCTCAAGCCCAGGTCCAAGCCCAGCTTACGCCACTCGCTCGGCGTCTCGTACCATCTGATGGTCCAACTCGCGGCGGCTTGCGTAGTGAAGGAAGTAGTACTCAGACCCCGAGCTCATGGAGAAGCTTGCATGACGAGACCTTGCGCAGATCACCACGAGTACCTACTCAATCGACCCCTCAACAATCTAACAAACGTGCTGGTGACGAAATTTCCGAGAATGCATCCAAGAAGAGACGTGCTGCTCTAGATGCAACTAGTCCTTTCAGCGTCAGATCAAATAGTTTGCATTAGTCACATCACAATCTTCGAAAAGTTTGAGCGAGAGATAAGCTCTATATTGGCTGGATTGTTTGATGATATGGTTCGGGAAGGTATAAGATATCTTTTATTGATTGATAGTTTTTGCTTAGCTTCAACGCTATTGCATGTAGATTAGCTTTGATCGTCATAACATAAATAGCTTGGGTTGATGCTTGATCAATAAAATGTCATGACATGTTTTCTTTCATCCTGTTTCCTTGTAAGCTTCACAAAAAATAATAATAATAATAAAAAATTGATTTTTTTGGGACTGACGTAGGTAGTACTTTTGATTCTCACTAATTTTATATCAAACATTTTGGCTAAACGTGGGAAGTGTCGCACCGTGATTTTTCGTCGTGGAGGCCACATATCTGTAACTGTGTAACGACATATATGATTATTGGCTGTGGTGAAACGATTAGATGTTTTGAGTATTCGGCGAGGAGGAGGATGAAATATGCTAATGTGTGTATGTGTGAAGCAGAAAGTAGAAAGTGTAGATGAAATGATGGGATGGAAGAAGAGAGATGGAGGAAGAGGGGGTGGGAAGGGGATGGAATGGGATGGTTTAGATTTGGTCGGTATGGAGACTTGGAGATTGGATGGATGGATGGATGGATGGATGGAGTATTATTTTTGATTTTTAGAATTTTAAATTTTGGTGGTGTGTTTGATATATAATTTGATATATGGGGTTGGTATTTGGGGTTTTAATTTTTCGGCCGATATTATTAAGGTTATTAAGCTATCGGTGTTTTCCGTGGTTCCTGTAATTGAAGTGGTGGCTCTTTTTGGTGGTCTGGCTATTTCATTATTACGGTGCTATAAACATAGAAACATCCTCGGCAAGCCCCAGTAGGTACACAGTACATGTAGGGAGGGTATGTAGGTAAGATTATGTAAGTCTTACAATGTAATTAAGATTCAATTCATCAGGTCATGAAGTTTATAACTGTATCATATCATCATAGTAATACCTAGGTACTATTTATCCATTCATATCATTCATAGTAGTACCATTCTATATCCCCTCCCCTACCACGCCAGAAGCATTTGTATGATTCTACGCTCGAACCTTCTCCCACATCTTCCTTAATTTTTTTTTGGTTCTTCCTTTCCATTTTCCTTCTTGAGCGGCTTTTTAAGGAGGGGGCGTGGTTTAGTGAATAGGCCTGGGGTTTGGTGGGTTTCCAGCTGAACCAGTGAAAGTTGATGAACCGTTGGGTTGGGGCCGGGGAATGAGGGAAGAAAGGGTAAATCATTTTTTTTGCTTCTTTTTCTTTGCTTTTTCTTTATCGGAGATCATGAATGAATTGGAGGGGAATCGGAAGATCTGGGTTTAAATTTTTTTTTTCTCTTTCCTTTTTCCTTTGATGTTCTTTGGATTTTGATTGGCGGTTTTCTGGGGTTTGGGCTTTTTGTTTTTTGGGGGAGAGGGGATCGAAAAATGGAAAAAGTAGTCCTAGTTAGTGAATGGATAATTAAATATTATTTCATATCGCGAACTCCTGTAACCACGAAAGAGGTTCGTGATGATGTGGAGTAAAGAGTGTGTCGCGCCATAATAAGTATAAAGGATTTGAAAGGACCCAAATCACAGGTAACCAATCTAATAACTGATTAACATGATATTCCGAGACTTTCAGGATGGATGGAGGAATGAGCAGGAACCTTTTTTTTTTTTCCTTTTAATTTCGGAAAGGGGTGTATCATATCACATGCTTGATGTATCGAATCTATCACATGGTTGGTGTAAAGATGTAGCGGGGAATGTTTATTAATCTATGGAAATTGGAGATTGGAAAAGGTCCCGAGTTTTGTATGTGCTCCCTGATTCACATGTGTGATGCACATGGCATGTATATGGATGATATGAGCATGATTTTGGTATTAGGTGTTTGGTGTTTGGTGTTTGGTGTTTGGTATTTGGTATTTAGATGGATGGGTGGGCTTATGTAAAACTTTATATACCTGGCCTACTCGCTTTTACGTCAAGATTGTAGTTTTTCGGAAAGTATAGTATATTGTTAGGAGAAGTTTAAAGTGATTGATTGATTCTAGAATTTCTCGGCCGACATACGTCATGTAGGATGGAGAAGATGAAGTTAGACTGTTCGATAGTTTTGGACTGTTAGATCGGATGGAATACCAGAAGATGGTTCGTTGATTTTCTAGTGTCTGATCGGTGGTGAAGGTTGTTTGTGCCACTGATCAAGGGGATGGTGGGTGGATGGATGTTATTTAGTAAGTAGCTGATTCGTGAAAATCTTGTATGAAATAAGCCAATGCGTAATGTGTAGTAAGACTTATGGATTATCATTATGGTATTTACTTTTGTCTGGCTCTTTGTGAGTTTGTACCAATTGAGTGATATCTTTTGGTTTGACATGGTTTCATGAATTTTGATGGGATGAGATGGAATGGGATTTTCAAGTACCCTTTCATGAATCATGATGCTAACGAGATCTCATCTCAATACAACACCATGTTGTCACAGTACTACCTAGGCTTCAGCAGCCGCATCTTCTTCCTATTCCATATATGTACTTTTACTCCGTTGTATAAGCTCATAAGGAATCTTTACGCATATATGCTATACCAATTCCGTGATTTAAAGCAGGCGGGCCGGCAAACCCCTCATTTAGGGAATCTACAAGAATAAATTTATCATTAATCTCTACTCCGTACTCTGTATTAAGCTTTAACCAACCCCCGTCTTCCGAACAATGTCTTCAATTTTAGGCGATACACTAACTATCATGGAAAGGCCTACTAGGCAGGTGTTTTAATCATCAACCACTTATGATACCCTGATCTGAAGATAAATACCCTGGACCAAAACTTTTAAATCGTAACAGATAATCCTAGTCATGCTCCTAAATTGTTGCGCAGGATCCATTTCCCATTTGATCAAGGATGGGGCATCCTTGAGATTGCCATTTGACACGATCAATTCATCCTACCAATCCGTAAGTAAAACTAACTTGCAACCATCTTCCCGGGTAACTCAATTTCCTGTTATGAAATAATGTGAATTATTCGAATTTACTAGGAATCTTTTCTTTTTCTTTTGTTTATCTATTTTGGTTTCCTGACTTGACTGCTTGACGTCCACTATCTATCAAAATATACCCTCTTTTTCAACGACTTTATGATAACAAATACCGAGTACTTTGCATTGTCAGCCCTGTCGCAGCTATAGAGAGAGATATATATATATATTATATATATATAAATTTATAACCATTCTGGAATTCAACTACGTTCAGCGGTATTCAAAGCCCCTCCTAGGTAATTCACGATCTAAAGACACGATGCTCATTGAGGGACGGTAATGGTGGTTCGATTCATAATAGCACAGCGTTGTATACACAGATATAGCTACGTATAGCGATCTTGGAGGAAGAAGGCATACCGAGGTCGACCAAATCACTTACGAATACTTCTACCTCTACCAGCCATTAACCGGTTCCTTAGAACTTCATCAAGATGGGGCGAACTTCGAAGTTCTCATTCCCCATTCCTGGGCGCAAGGGTAATTCGAGCAAGGAAAAATCATATCAAGTACCTCCACCTATGTCAAAGTTATCTTCAGGAAACTTGTCAAAAGCAGAACAAATTTTGGGAACTGGCACTGCGGAACCCGGAGATTGGAAGAGACCCGGTTCTCGGTCTAGCCGAATGAGCATCACTATTTCAGAAACTACACATTCGGCGAGATCAATGAATGATGGTGGTAATTATGATGAGTGGGATGGAGAATCGGGTATTTTCCCTAGACAGACAGGTGTTAGAGGGAGGGCTTCATCTAATGCACTAGGTCAACCTTTTGGGGAGGATATGGCTACGGAAACTTCTACTATAACACATCGATTGAGGAATGAGGATTCTACATCTACTTTAAAATCGTATTATGATCGTCAAAAGTTACCGGCTTCAATATCACAACAAACTTCTGCATCTTCTGCACGAGATCTAGCTCTCCGAAAAGGACTTACGCCAGTGGTGAATAGGAGTCCACTTTTACAAGTCGATTCGACAGATCCTTGGGATCAAGCCGGTCACAATCTCTCGAGTATGAATGATAATCATTTAGGGTCGCCAGAACGTAAGAAGTCTGTGAGGCAGGGTTTGTCCTCGTTATTTCATAGGTCAGAAAGACGACCATCGGCAGTATCACAAAATACTTTTGATTATTCCAAACAAAGTGGCTCAATTCGGAATAGGCTTGCCAAAGCGGCTTCCAGAGAGTCATTACAATCACAAAAGCCAAGCATCTCATCCATAAAGTCCAGAGACCAAAGAGATCAGGTGCAAGTTCAGCCTAGCTTGAACGATTCATATGATTACTATGAACAATCAACTCGGAATGCTCAGATGAAATCAATACCAGAATCAAACATTCCCGAACATTTCAATTTATTTCCCAGCACGTCAGAAAAGGGTAATGGTCGGCAGCCGGGATCACTCAATTCTGAGAAACGAGAAGGACATCGAAGACTAGAAGATTTACATTCCAGCTCTGGAGAAAAGGATACAATTTCGTGGAAGAATGCACGTTCGAATACCAATGGCAATTTTCGCAACAGTGTGATTTCTCAGAGCACGGGTCATTCTAGCCTGGGTATATCCAGTACCGGAAGTATATCCAGTCGCAACACCAAAACATCAAGACAAACCGGAGGAAGTGTATTTTCGAATGCAGATTTACACCAAAGTAGTGTACTGTCATTATCATCCGATTCAGAAGAGGATTTTTCGGATACCGAACCATCGAAATCTCGTGATAATATATCTATTGGTAAAGCTCCTTCACATGCTGAAAGTGAAATTATTCCTCCTGTACTTCAAAACCGCTTGAGTATAACGAAAAATCCTGTAAGGAAACAATCGGCTTTGAAGAATTCATCGTCCACCAAGAAGGGAGCCGCTCAGCCAAGTGCATTTTTAACGATTCCGGGGTCGAATGGAGGATTATCTCAATGGCCGATGCCACCAACAACCCCAACGACACCAACGATTACGAGACAAGATTCTCTAAAGTCACAAGACTCTCGACCAACTTCATCCCAAAGAAATGTTTCCATCTCGTCCAAAAGGTCCATACAGCAGCAACCGACACCACCGCTATCTCCTCGAGAAATCGATGCCGAAACTGACTCCGTTCGCACAACAACCAGTGGTCGTATGATGCAAGTTACGAAGCAAGAAGAGGCACTTCTCGAGGCACTACGTCAAAAAAGAGCACGTATGCGCGAGAAAATTATCAAGGAACATGAAGCTGAAGCTGGAGTTGGTAAATCACCACCGGATTTTGTAGATCACAGAAGTTCTTCAAGGTTTTCGAAATCGTCTTCTACAAGTACGATTAGACCAGGTACAGAACGTGTACCTTTGTATCTCGATGCGCCCATTGTAAGGGAAAGAAATTTGGGATATGGAAATGGAAATGGAAATGGGAATGGAATGGGAATGGGAATGAAATATGGACAACCAAGTCCGGATTTGAGTGATTTTTTGAGTATGGGGAGTCAGGAGTTTCAAGAGGATGAGGAGACGCCTACGAATAGTAGAGGTGTTTCGAGGAATGATATGAGGAGGAATACAAATGCAAGTGGAAGTGGAAGTACAATTGAGATTGGGATTGGGATTGAAGTGCCCCAACCAAAGAGACCGGGTACTCCGCCGCAAAATGATCCGAGGTTTGGGTCTTCTGGGGTGGAGGGAATGAGGATGGGTGGTCATAGGGAGAGGGAGAGGAACCTTAGTGTGGAGAAAGCGAAGTTTTTAGAGGAAGAGGAGGAGGAGGAGGGGTTTTGGGGTTTGTAGGTTTGGGATGGGCGGTCGGTGTATGGCTTTGGTGTGGTTGAGGGAGGGAGGAGGGGAGGTTTAATGTATATTTTTATTATGAAGAGATATCTGGTATCTGGTAGCGCTTCTTTGGGTTGTTTGGGGTCTGGATGTAAAACTATGTTTTCAATTTTAAATATGGGGGATTAGAGAAAATTGTGTGATTGGGGAATTGGATGGGAATGAGAATGGGTGGATGGGTGGGCGGATAGGTGTCTTATTTTCTTCACGATTTCATATTGAATGAATGATCTATGGGTTTGGTTTGAGGTTTGATAGGATAGATCATTTTGCTTATACCCTTCTTTATTTTAGTTTTTTGCGGGGAGGGGGGTCGCGGGAGGAGGGGGGAGGGAGAAGTGGTGGATGGATGGATGGATGGGTGTTTTTGATTGGTTGGTTTGGGGATGAATAAATAGAGAGAGAAGGTTGGGGGGGAGGGGGGTATATTCATGTATATATATAGGTATTGAGAGAGATGGAGATAGATACATATATATCTTACATTCTTGATTATGAATATTATATTTATATCAATATTATTAACATGAAAATATTTGATCTGAAAAGTCGACTGATATTTGAATACCTAGGGCAAATATCAGATGTCGAATGTCGACTAATAATGTATGGAATATCAAATATCGAATGTCGAACGTCGAATGTCGAATATTCATTCTTATTGAGTAATTATGTGAGGTGTTGAGGTAGACAATTAGGTAATAGGTAATGGGTAATGTTGAGTGTACAGAGTACAGAGTATGCGTGATGATGCAGTGTGGAAATACCTAGGTACGAATAACCTTAGCGAACTAATTTACTAAAAGCCAAGTCATAACTACTAGGTACAGTAAGGTTAACCGTGCCATTTATCCTATTCGTTCACCCCAGATTTCTCTCCAGCTCATCGCTTATATTAAGACTACCACAAATCTGGTGCTCTAGTTTTTGGAGATGGAATGGGATGGGTGAGCTTTGTGGTGTGGTGTTTGATGCTTGATTGATGGGGTTGGAGGTAGGGTTGGAAGTGTATGGAGGAGAATGGCGAGGTTTGTTTTGATTTGATTTGATGGATTGTTCTGAAATTAATAAATTGGGGAGTATATATTGGTAGAGTAGAGATTAAATCATAAAACTTACCTGCACATTTGGTGGTTCGTAGGAGAGCTTGTTAGATTGATTGTGATTGGTTGATATGTACAACCAAGTTTTGGGCATCTAGAAGCAAGCAAGTACGCCAAACCAATGAACATGAATACCTAGAACAATAGATCGTCACTTTTCCCCAGAAGCTCAAAAATCCTTCCTCTCCTTTACAGTATTCATCTCACCGTTTGCCTTGCACACAAAGGCTTTTGCTTGTTTTTATGATCAATTTATTTTACTTTTTTACGACTTTGTTCTAGAGATAAAGCTTACTGATTGAGGATTGAGAGGAGGTCCTCCCCCACTGGTTTGGCACAAAAATAGAGGAAGAGGGTCATTTGGAGCGCGATGGCGATAGAAGACGCGTCGCAGAGTTGGATGGGGACGTCTTTGAAGCATGTTTCTCTTATTACTGTGAGGACATACTTCTCTGGATGTCTTCGATTGATGCTAATACTTCACAGCTTACTTTCCAAAATTCTGCCCTCATACTCGTACGTTGACATCATCCTGACGCTCTCACTTTCTCGACAAGAAATATTGGCACAGAGAGGTAGCTAATATGGATTTAGTTAATGCATTATAGTAGGATAATGCCATTAGCGGGTGGGCATAGATATTTTACCTCGACGGCAGTTTTCCTTAATGAGATCATGAAGTTGGCTGTTTCTTTGACGATTGCCATGTACGATATTTCACGAACCTTACCTCCATCTACGCCCGCGACAGTGCTTTTCGAACAATTGTATATGTCGGTATTTTCTGGTGATGGTTGGAAATTGGCTATCCCAGCTACTTTGTACACTTTGCAGAATTCGTTACAGTATACTGCTGTGAGCAACCTGGAAGCTGTACATTTCCAGGTTTTGTATCAATTGAAAGTTGGTTCTGCCTGTTATGCGTGCAAGATGTTCATTTACTGATTCCTGCATGTAGATCCTCACAACGGCAATTTTTAGTGTGGTTCTACTAGGAAGGGCGCTGTCTTCTAAAAGATGGATAGCTCTCGTTTTACTCACGATTGGAGTTACCATTGTCCAACTACCCACCGGCAGTCCGTCTGCACATTCCACCCTTAACGGTTCACAATCACGATTTTACTTTCCACGATCCTTTCACGAACTGGGACAAATGGGTAATGGTGCAGTGGAAGTAGCAGCCGAATTAACGAAACGTGGTATGGAGGGGTTTTCCGAAGGTCTTACGAAACGATCTGCTACATATGAGGGTATACAAGAGGACCAAGGATTGGTCAGACCTGTTATGAACTATCCCATTGGCCTTATGGCTGTTTTGGCCGCGGCTGTGATATCAGGTCTTACGGGGGTATATTTCGAAAAGGTGTTGAAGGAATCTACGACTCATGTTACGATTTGGACGAGAAATGTTCAGCTCTCTTTCTATTCTCTCTTCCCATCTTTGATATTCGGAGTGATGTTCAAAGATGGAGAGCAAATTGCCGAGAATGGCTTCTTTGCTGGGTATAATGCAGTGGTGTGGACTGCTATTGTTATGCAAGCCTTGGGTGGAATCCTCGTTGCACTTTGCATGGATTACAGCGATAATATCGCAAAGAATTTTGCTACAAGTATTAGTATTATTTTTAGTTTTATTTTCAGCGTTTGGTTCTTTGATTTTAATGTCTCTCTCAATGTAAGTCTTTGGAAATTTTCTTTTGGATACTCATAAATACTCACATAATCTTAGTTCATTTTCGGTACATCGATAGTTTTCTTTGCAACATGGCTATACAGTGGTCCGGAAAGAAAAAGAAATAGACCTCCACCAATCAATATTGCAAGTTATGAAAAGACGACCATTGATAATGGTTTTACGCCGAAGTATGAAGAGGATAGGTCGAGTTTGACGTTGGATCCATTGAGTGGATTGAAAGGTCCAGGCGCGGGGGCATCTTTGTCGACTAGTAGGCCTAGTTCGCCTATGAGGCATCATTCGAGGGTGGGAAGTTCGAGAGGAAAGGTTAAGAGGGACGACTGATCGTTTGGGCGATTGGGTTGGATGGAGTGGCTTGGTTGGGAGTTGAAATGGGTGGTGCATGAGTGTGATTGAGACTGTTGAGGCATTCTTCAGCGATTCCATCATTTCAAGTTTCTTGAGCGTATTGATGCTGGTTTTTGTACAATGGCAATTCGACAGCTTCGCTTAGGAATTGGGTTCAGATGGCGGGGTAAAATACCGAGACGAGCAAATGATATCAAGATGGGAAAATACAACACGGGTGCATACACATAGGATACCTACTGGACAGCGATGAATTACATAAATGATTATAGCAAGTCAGTTTTATTGATTGATCTGCATAAAATGGCAATGGAGATGGGGAAAAGGGTAGGCGACACGTGAGATTTGACACGTGATAGACACGAGAAGTAGACCTTCTCGACGTCAGGATGGTTTAAGATTTCTGAATACTATCTATGCTGAGGTTTTATACATTTTAAGATACTTTTGCGTTGAATCTTTCAGTAAAGAATATCAATGTGGTTGTAAGTGAGGATTGAAGTGAAGTGAAACGTGAAAGAGGAAATGACGCTAAAATTGAGGAGAACCTCAACATCCATGGTTGCATGCTTTCAACACATTTTACAACATTCTTCATCATCCTATGACATTACCTTTCAGTACTGTATAGATAGACATCTGATATTTTCTCTTTCTCCCTCTTCATTTTATCTATCTATTGTCAACTCCTGGAACGTTTCAAGATCATTTTTCAGCAATCAGGCGGAAGTCTTGCTCCAAGTCAAGTGGATGTCACCATGGAGAAGGCTTGGGATCCTCATCTTCAGGGAATGATGGATAATACAAGTGGTGATACATCTAATAGCGAAACCAATCATGAAGATGGTAAAAATCAATCATTTTCAACCAACTTCTTTGCAAGTAAAGACTCTCAACAGCTACCTCCGGAAACAGGATTCAGCTTTGGACCATCTCCAATGCGAGGTGCTCAACAACTATCTGGTTCAAGACATGGACAGGATAACAGTGTGCGGGGTCTACACGATAACGTTAAGTTTGATCGTTCATCTGGATATTTGATGGCTCAAAGTGTCGAACCACCTGCCTCTACTGGTTTCACTTTTGGTCCGGCACCAAGGCAGCTTGCACAGAAGATGACTCCTCCTAGTCAGAATACAAATGTGCCAGCTCTATTTAACATTCCAAGACATGATCCACTTCCGGCTTACTTGAATCGGCCCTCGTTCGAGCCATCCCAATCTATGCAAAGACTCCCTTCATATCCTGCCAATGGCAATGGCACCAGCCAAGGCCGCTTGTCTCTTCCTAGCTTCTCTTCTCATATGCAAGCAGACTCGAATTCCTTTCGTGAAGGAAATGATTCTAGAGTTTTGACAACTGCAGATAATTACTTCAAACAGCAGATATTGCAGGATATCGAATTGAAAACCAAACCGAGAAACAGTCAAACATATTCTTCGACATTCGGCACTGGTCAAATACAGAGTCCTCTCACACAGCTTGCCAACAATATGATTTCGCAGACGTCTATGCCGTTGCAGAAGCCTGTTGGACCTAGTCCTCCAGGACAGAACATTTTTCATACGCAGGCAGTAAGATCTCAACAATCTCAGTTTCAGAATCAACATTTTACGCCGCCATTTTCTCGAGCGATGAACTTGAGTATGATCCAATTGTTCCTCTTCTCTGATTTATGAACTTTATAAGCTAACCATTTTAGATTCCTTTTCACGGAACCCTCTCGAACGCCCGGATGTGTCTACAAACTCTTCCCCTCAAGATCTGTCGAGTCCCAGTGCTAGAGTTAGCTCACGTCGAAACTCAAATCGTCGGTTACCTCCAATAAATACACGAGAAGTAGGACAGGGCTTTGGACAGATTAACCCACATACACCTCGAAATCAGATCTCACCCAGTGACAAATACGCTGTATCTTCAAGTGCTTCTCAAGTACAAAGCATAAATCGCAATGCAGAGAATTCTGGTTTCTCTCCTGCCCAGCAAACCTCTTCCGGTAATGCCGGACAATTCAAAAATGATCGGCAAATTATTGCCTTTGGAAATGCACCACCATTGGCTCATGGAATCCAGCTTGTTTCCCCTCATGAACTTCCAGATAGGTTTAGACAGGTCTTCCCTTATGAACTATTCAATGCTGTACAATCTAAATGTTTTGCACCAATTTACAAGACGAGTAATAATATCGTTGTATCAGCGCCGACTGGAAGTGGCAAGACTGCTCTCATGGAACTAGCTATCTGCAAACTGGTTGAGAGCCATGGTTCTGGACAATTTAAAATCGTTTACCAAGCACCCATAAAATCGCTTTGTTCAGAACGTATGAAGGATTGGACTAAGAAGTTTAGTCATTTGAATTTACCTGTTGCGGAACTTACAGGTGATACGAGGTTAGTAAATGGATTCTGTTAGATGCATTCTCTTTTGTATAATCATCACCTAATTTCATGTCTTTCTTCCTCCCCTTGCTCCATGTTCCAAGTCAGCTTGAAGTCCGTTCTGTGTCCCTAAGAGTTTATTTTTCTCGAGAGACAATTACTAACCTACCACCTTTAGCAATGCTGAAATGAGTCGGGTAGGCAGTGCATCGATTATCATTACCACGCCCGAAAAATGGGACAGCATTACTAGGAAGTGGACGGATTATCAAAAGCTTTTACAATTGGTGAAGTTGTTTTTGATTGATGAGGTTCACATTCTTAAGGATGCGAGAGGAGCTACTCTTGAGGCTGTAGTCTCTCGGATGCATTCAATTGGAGCCAATGTCCGTTTTGTGGCTTTGAGTGCCACGGTTCCGAATTCGTAGGTTTCTTTCTTCCCTCGGACACTGTAGATTCTGACATATTTTCAACAGGCACGATATTGCCACTTGGCTCGGGAGAGACTCAAGTAGTCGTCAATTGCCTGCTCATCGAGAAACTTTTGGTGAAGAATTTCGACCTGTCAAGCTACAAAAGCATGTTCATGGGTACGAGAGTCGTGCAAACGATTTTGCTTTCGAGAAGATTCTTGATGGCAAAATTCCTGCTTTGATTCAAAAGTATTCATGCAAGAAGCCTATCATGGTTTTCTGTTTTACAAGAAAATCGTGTGAGGGTACTGCGGCTATTCTTGCAGAATATTGGACTAGACAGAGAAATGTTGATCGTGCTTGGCCAGCTCCAACCAATCGAACAGTAGTAGGAAATAAAGATCTACAAGAATTAGTAGGATGTGGTGTCGCCTATCATCATGCAGGTCTTGATTCTCAAGATAGATCTGCTATTGAAACAGCATATCTGAAAGGAGATATCAGTGTGATTTGTTGCACCTCGACGCTTGCGGTTGGAGTCAATCTACCCTGTCAGCTCGTGGTTTTAAAGGGCACAGTCTGCTTCCAAGATAGTGGTCTTGTTGAATATTCAGACCTTGAGGTTATGCAAATGCTAGGACGTGCAGGAAGACCTCAGTTCGATGACAGTGCCACTGCAATCATCATGACCCGAATGGACAACACAGATCGGTACAAGAAGATGATCTCGGGTCAGGATGTTTTGGAGAGCACGTTACATTTGAATCTTATTGAGCATTTGAACTCAGAAATTGGACTGCGCACCATCAAGACCGCCTACGAAGCCAAAGTATGGTTAGGAGGGACTTTCTTGAGTGTTAGGATGAGACAGAATCCTAATTATTATAAGTTTTCTGGAGTAGCTCCTAGTAGGGATGCGGATCAGCAGCTCGAGTTGGTCTGCGAAAGAGACATTAAGCTTCTTCAAGATTATGAACTCGTCACAAAGGAGGACTTTTTCTCTTGTACGGAATATGGTGCTGCTATGAGCCGATATATGGTTCAATTCGAAACGATGAAGTTACTCTTGAGTATTCCTCGTCATTCAAAGACAGAACAGATCTTGAGTACCGTATGTCAAGCAGCCGAATTTAAAGATCTACGAATGAAACCAAATGAGCGATCCAGTCTTCGGGAATTCAACAAATCACCGATGATAAAGTTTCCCATCAAGGACAACATATCAACGACAGCGCATAAAATCTTTCTCATGATTCAGGTCCAGCTAGGTGGGATTGAACCTTTGGCCACTAATGACTTTCGAATCATCAGCCGACAATTTAGCATGGAGACTAATATCATACTGGATCGAGTTCAACGTTTGATTAGATGTGTTATTGATTGTAAAGCCTTTGATTGTGATTCAATCTCTACACGCTTTGCTCTCGATCTTTCTAGGAGTATTGCAGCTGGCTTCTGGGAGCACTCATCTTTACAATTGAGACAAGTCCCACAAATTGGACCAGCATCGTTGCGCAAGTTGGCTGGCAATAATGTCAATTCAGTGGAAAAGCTTGCTGGACTTGATACAGCAGGAATTGAGAGAGTCATGAGCAAGAACCCTCCATTTGGGAAAAAAATGAAGGATAATTTGATGGAATTTCCCCGGTTGACTCTCACAGCCGAGATTTTAGGGAGAGCCTTTTCAAAAGCAGGGGCGCAGCCAAAGGTCAAAGTCAATGCTGTCCTTGGATATAAAAATGATAAAGTACCAAACTGGTTGGGTAGGATACCATTCTTGACGTTTATAGCCGAAATATCGAGTGGAACCTTGGTGTATTTCTGGCGTGGAAATATCAAACGATTGTTGAATGGCAATAAGCAACAGTTCACCGTCGAGCTTTCATCACCGGATGATGAGATAAAATGTTGGCTCGCATGCGATGAGATTGTTGGTACTCTGCAATCTTGCGTTTTAAATCACGATATCCCTGCGGTTGAATTTCCTCCTCCCAAAGTTGTGGTCGAAGAGCAATCCATCATGAATAAGTCGAGAACAGAGCAAGTGGCTACATCTGATGAATTTGACGATGGGATTGATGATGATGCTATGCTCGCAGCAGCTAAGCAAGTTGAGGGTGGACGTCGAGTTTCTAGTGATTATGGATCTGATGCCTTTATTGATATTGACACAGTCGATTTGGTCAATTCTGTCAACAATAAGAGATCAAGAGATGAGGTCGATCAACCAGAAGCAGTCAAAATGTATAATGGAAAGTGGGCATGCAATCATCATTGTCGTGATGGGAATACATTGAAGAACGGCCAGCTTTGCAAGCATAGGTGTTGCAGGGAGGGACTTGATAAACCTAGGAAAATTACCAGGAAGAAGTCCACAACCGACAGTATCGAAGATCAAGGTTCGAAGTCTAGCAATAAGATCAAAGGAGCTGTGACCAAGCCTATGAACATTCAATCTTCTAATAGCAAGCAACTCCCAAAACTGGCCAAGAAACCTCGACTTATGCCATCAGGTGCTTCAGGTTCCGATCAACATGATGTGGAAGTAATTGATCTTTCGGAAACCATACCTCCAGTAATATATCCCGATGTGGCATCTAAAGATTATCAAAAATTACATAAATTACATACAAGCATTCAGAAAGATACATCTGTTCGACTTCCGAAAAATCAACCGAAGTTCTCATACGCCAATGGAGAGATGTTCAGTCTTTCCTTCATGAATAAAGGTGCCTCTGAGTCCGAGAAGAAAGATGAATCGGATCCTTTTGATTCTGATGGGTATGAATTTCCGTCACCTTCTACTCTTTTGAAAGGCGATATGCATAAGGATAAGAGTGTCTCTATTCCAGCAACTCAATTACCACCTCCAGCTATGGGTATATCTAGATATGAGAGTAAGAGTCAACAGGATTCTGCTGAAGATTCATTTGATGATCCAACGGGTAGTCTCGAAGATGCAATGATAGGCCTAGATGATTCCATGAACCTTCGACCCGCTACACCCAAACTCAACACGAGCTTCGCTAATAATGTATTTGATTTTGCGGCATTTGATTCCGAGGAAGCGTATACTCAACAATTCTCTAGCCCTTTGATGAGTCAGGCACAGAAAAGAAATACTCAGGCGGAAGTTGATGATGACGATCTGGATGTTGTCATGCAATCTATGAAGCGACAGCAATCTAGTCCATGGATGAGAGATTTTCGCAATGGAAATATGATGAGTCATAATCAGGGAGATGGAGATGAGCATAGTTATGATGACAGTCCAGCTTTGCCTCAGATGAAGAGAAGAAGAGTTGATGATGGAGATGATGAGAGTGGTCTTCGGAGCACGATGAAGAATTCCGAGGACATGAAATCTACCAGTGGAAGTAGTGCTCCAGCATGGGCCAATGAGATGGGATCTGAAATTCTAGATGATGAGGAGAATGAAGAGAATAAGAAGGGAGAAAAGCAGAAGTTTGGTATAAAGGCCAATATTCGACCTGAACCTGCTTGGGTTGGTGAGATGGATCAGGACTTCATCAATATGTTTAGAGGATATGTTGATTTTATGGATTGATGGATTGAGTTGTCATTGAGGTTAAGGATGAGCAAAGAGTTTATGGTGGGATGATGGAAGATATGAGATGAGTGGTTAGAAGGAAGATACGAAAAGGGAATGGCTAGATGGGTATATTTTGGTAGCAGCACATGGATGGAATCATGGCTGGATTATATGGCTGGGCGTATTGACGAAGATGATCAAAAGCTACCTAGGTAACAAGAGCTTGCACGACATTTATGAAGACAATTTTGTACCAATCAGAGTCATAGAAAGTTAGAGCTATATTGGCTGGGTTTTTATTCTTAGCGTAATATTTATTGTTAGCATTTACGGGTATAATAAAATAGTATTATTATCCTCATCTTCATCCTCGTCAATGATATCCAATACAAAAATCACAAGTTACAAGTAAAAATATAAATACACTGTATTAAAAACTATAATGCCAAACAAACCCCAGTATCAAATTCAATATTGAGTAAGTAAGATTAGTATCCTTACCTAGTAGTAACCCACTCCTCTCACTCTTTCATCCACCCATATACACCCATACACCCACATCGCACCACATCTCTACATGGGTATCACGCCTATAATATAACACATATTCCTCCCAGATTTTTTATTTTAATCATTCCATTCATTTTCAATTTTGTATTTTGTATTTTGTATTTTGTATTTTGTATTTTGTATTTTGTATTTTGTATTTTGTATTTTGTATTTTGTATTTTGTATTTTGTATTTTGTATTTTGTATTTTGTATTTTGTATTTTGTATTTTGAACTTTTTATTGCTATTACGCTACTCCTTATCTTCCTCTACTCCCTTCCTTTCTTCTTCCCCTTTCCCTTCTTCAATTCCTCATCTCATTCATAACCCATAACTCATTCATACTCATACCATCATAACTCATACCATCCCAACCCATCACGCCGGCGAACTAAAACTAAAAAGTCTTCTTCCGCTTCCGATTCTCTTGGCTTTGACTCTGACTCTATTCCCTTTACTCGTCGGTTTTCCATTTCCTGTTCCTGTTCCTGTTCCTGTCCCTTTCTCAGTTCCAGTTCCTGTTTCTGTTCCAGCTGCATTTCCAAGTGTATCGATTGGACTTGTTGTATTTGCATGACCATGATTATGACCATGATTATGACCATGATTATGACCATGATTATGACCATGATCTGCTTCGTCATCGTATTGATCTAGTTCTACACCACCACCACCACCACCACCAGTATCGACTAAACTTCCCTTTCTCATTCTTAAGTGTGTAGATATCGATGTTCTGTTTACTCCGGTCCCACTACTCATAGGTCTTTCTCTCTCTCTTTCCCTGCCCCACTCCCATTACCATTCCCATGCATAACCCTCGGTCTCCCCAACAATTCCAAAATTTCTCTCTCCACATCACTCACCACCTCCTCCTCCTCCCCACAACAACACACCTCCAAACCCCACCTTCTCCTCCCCTCCTCTCCACCCCCACTACCCTCCCTAACCGCCCTCTCCAACCTCCTCCTTACCCCCCTATCCCTCTCCAACCCCTGCCAAACCTCTATATCGCTCCCCCAAAAAGTTCTCCTCACACTACTAACACCCACTTCGAGTAAGAAAACCGCCGCTAGAATAATAATAAGTGTACACCACCAAAGGGGATTTCTTCCAAATTGATATATGAATCCATCGCGAACATTGTAGGTTAGGGCTTTGGGACTGTAGAGGGAAGAGAGGAGGAGATTCCAGAGGAACCAGCCGCCTATGCTGAGGATGAGGCCGAGGGCTGTTATGTAGGTCTTGCTGTGCATTTCGAGGATACTGAAGTTGTTTTAGTTTTTTGTGGGAGTAGATGGGATGGAATGAAGGGTATGGGGTTTAGTAGTTAGGATTGCAGTCTGAAAATGCTTGATGGTCATTGAACTCATTCAATGTAATGATACTTGAGAACATCCAATCCACTCGGATTATGTCATCAATCCATATTCAAAATCACACCAGTTAAACATCAAAACCTCCTTCTAGACTGCAACCCTCACAACACAAACACAGTCCAAAAAGAAAGTACTTACAGAAGTTTCGAAACAATAATCACCACGGCCGCCGTAAAACAAAGATCCCCCAAAGAATACAACGTATTATCATTCGTAAACCTCGATTCTCCAAAAAGACCATAAGCCAAAAACCAAATGATAATCATTTCACTCGCAGCCATGAAAGTCCAACCAAAATATTTCTTCAGATTAAATCCTTCATCACGTTGTCCATACGTATACAATTCTGGAACAGCGAGAAGAGTTGTAGCCGAAAGATCCTGATCAAAGACTCCGAGAAAAATAACACAAAGGGATGTGAAAAGCGTGTTAAAGACGGTAAGGGATGCGGATTCGAAAAGTGAGGTTCCGGAATATCCGTTCCATTTTTGATAGACAGCTTGGATCATGTAGAAGAGAAATTCTTTCCAGAAAGTTCCGAGAATATATTTTCCTGTTCTAATATAATTCCAATGACCGTGAACAAACAACAATCGCTGTAGAAACCGGAATTGAGCAATTGAATAATCAGATATTCGAGCTGCTTGAAGACCTTCTTTTCCACTAATACCAATTCCCACATGCGCTTCTTGAATCATGGCAATATCATTTGCACCGTCACCAATAGCCAAGGTAATAGATTTATTAACCTTTGTTCGAATCTTCTTCACCAGGGATGCTTTTTGACTTGGACTTGCTCGACAACAAATAACTGAATCGGCTTGAACAACGAGATCGAAAAATAACAGAGATAGTGTTTGATTTGCATCGATTTCCGAAAGTGTTTGTCCATCCACGACAATAACCGAGTGAGCGACATTTCCATTGTTAATATCAACCAACGTAGTAGCCATACATTGCTCAACCTTACCAGTGGTCCAATCCAAAATAATGATTTCCGAGTAACTTTTAGCA